AAATCTATCGAAGAAACATATGATTGAATGTGGATGACACTTATTGTGTGCATTCTGTGAAAGGGTCTGAGAGGACTACGCACCACGGCCAGAAGTTACGCCTCCCGCAAGTGAAACTATCTGTACATTATATATTTGTTTGGCATAATAATATTGCTATCAAATCGTATCGAGTGTGAAAACAAATTTACAATCAATTATACATTTAAATGCCGGCAATAGCTACCGAAGCTAACCCTAACTGTACCCCCCTTCGATACCAATACATGTAGAGTTTCATCATTACAATGCTTTTAAAAGTGATGAGTTCTGCCGATCAGAGCGTTACTAGCGATGACTTCAGCGCGTCCCATGAGGAGAGGCTCTGGTGACAGTCCCTAGGTCCTTGTATCTTTAGGGGCGCTGACTTGTAGTAAGAGACATAATTGTCGTGGCCGTGGTTTGTAGTCTTGTGGGACGCAGCTGGATGCACTGTGTGAGAGATGTGACAGTCGTATGTGAGTGTCAGCGATGCTCCTGCCTCTTTCCAAGGACTCCTTTGCAAAGGTTTACTGGTTAGAACCAAATAAAAGAATGACTAATAACATTATTTTTATTAAGAAAGTGCATTATGCTAATAAGCTTTGAAAATAACAATACAATCAGTGACTGCAGAGTTATGGACTGCTGACTGTATTTTACAGTGTGGTGCATATAAAACTATATACAGTACTAAATGGCCATTTGCTGTGTATAACAAAGGAACAACATGAGTATGTAACACCGAAGACATAAAGCGCCCCTCTCCTTAATACTCAGTGGTTGTCCAAAGCTCTTATAATAAAGTCTTCACCGTTTGAACGGTAGCTACTTCCTATCAGGCCTTCATCCTTAAATTGGATTCAAGACTTCTCGGCCTCCATTGTGAAGTGCAGTATATACAGCTGAACTGTACAACATTGATTGCAAGCGAATAGCAATCTGGGGACTAACTTTTGTATTGTACAACTCATTTGAGCAAAGTTTTTAAACAAAGATTTTAGACAGGCTTTCAAGCTGTTTTCAAGGAAATTTCACACTTCAATTTTTTTCCCACCCACAGAAAATGGATCTCGTTTTGGTCCCGGAAACATTTCATGGACAGTTTTATGAAAGTGACTGCTATTTATTGCTCTCAGTAAGTGAATATAATCTTTCCAAATTATGTTGTGAAAACTTAAATAAAACCGAATTGCATGTTGTTTCTGTCAGGGTTCTGTCACCTCTGTTGAGTTTATACTTAGTTTGGTGACAGAGCTCTGACACTTGTGTATCGTCTTGCCTTTGTGTGTGTGTGT